GGCTGTGTCTGCCCCAGGGCAGAAGTCACCAGCCTCTCTTCTTCATAGCTCAAGTCAGCCTGCCTTGTCTGGAAGTCAGGCAGTAAACTCCCACATGACCACGGGAGAGAACACTTCTTCCCAGCTGGCTCTAGGAAGAAAAGCACTGCCCACAATTTTCTAATTGAGAACACAGACATCAACCAGTCCTATCTTGTAAGCCTACCCTTATTGATTAATTAATTAAAATGATAGCATGGAATAGCCCCTCACAAACAAAATTTTCTAATCCAAAATGTTTAATGCACCAAAGTTGAGAAAACGACTTTAAAAATATATAACACAGGCCGGGCATGGTGGCGCATGCCCTTGATCCCAGCACTAGGGAGGCAGAGGCAGGTGGATCCCTGGGAGTTCAAGGCCAGCCTGGTCTACATAGTGAATTCCAGACCAGCTGGGACCACAAAAAGACCAAAAAAACAGTAACACCACCTTCAATGCCAGCAAACCCAGTGTGATCCTGAGCATGTAGGTGAGACACAGGCACTAAAGTCTGGGATGACTTGCTAGGCCCTGTCCCTGATGCTTTGAAATGGTAGACAACACACAGTGTTAAAAAATAAACCACACTTGCTGACTTTAAAACTCCAGGATGACACAGAACCTCTTATCAAGAACTGCCCGTTTAAATCAGAAATAACAAAGGAAACCCATTTTCTGGAGCATTTTGGGTTTTTGTGTTTTGTTTTGTTTCAAGGGTATCAGATTTCCTTACTCTAGCTGCCACAGTTTTCACTTTGTGGTTTGGTTGCTCTGATTCTCCCTGGAAAACAGCTAAATGGCCCCACAAACTCCTCAAGATGCTAGAAAGTTCAGCTTTAAAAAGCGATTACACACACACACACACACACACACACACACACACACACACACACACAAAAAAAAAGCTAAGCAAGGTGACGCACAGCTATTAGCTCCAGCACTTGGGAGATGGGAGTTCAAACCATCTTCAATTGCATGGCAAATTCTAGGCCAGTCTGGGCTACCTAAGACCCTTGCCTCTTTTCTGTTTTCAAGATATTCCAACTCCAGAGCTGAAGTCTACCCCTTCTTCATATAAGGAATTTAAGTAAGCTGTATCTATCTATTACAGGATGGAGTTAAATGTCACCAGTCTAGGTAATAAGAGAATTTGGTCAATGGCTCAAGGATGGGGTACATTTCTTACCTCAATTCTACAATTAACTGATTTTTTTTGTTTTTTGTTTTGTTCTTTTTGAGACAGGGTCTCCCTGTAGCCCCAACTCACCTGGAACTCCCTATGTATGTAGACCAGACTGGCCTTGAACTCAGAGATCTGCCTGCCTCTGCTGGGATTAAAGGTGTGAGCCACGATGCCCAGCTTTAACTGGTGATTCTTACTTGACTCCTCTCTCCAAAACAGGACACAAAAGCCTTGATGGGGATGATTGAAACTACAGCTCCTAGGCCTTCTGTCCCATCCAGGATCAGCCTCAGGCATCACATCAAGTGAAGGATCCACCCACTCCACCACCCCACCACCCCTCTCCTCCACAAAGTGCCAAACTGGGTTGACCAAATGAACAGGTGGGATTCTCCCTCCATGAGGAAGGAACTCCAACCCTAATGTATGCAGAATGAAACCAACAACATCCAACAACATGCAAGTTCAAGTGCAGAGACGCACTTGGGTACGCAGAATAGGAGCAGATAAAAGGCAGAGAGCAGAGCCCGCCTTTAGTCCCAACACCCCAGAGGCAGAGGTAGGCAGATCTCTGAGTTCAAGGCCAGCCTGGTCTACATATCGGGTTCCAGGCCAGCTGGGTCTACAGGAAGACCCTGTCTCAAAAAAGACCAAAAAAAAGCAGGAAGCAGTGTGAAAGAGGCAGCACTTGAGATGGAAGGGTAAGTGGAGAAAAGCCAGGCTGTATGTGCCAGGCAAGGCAGAACAATCTAATGCGAATAGGCATGACAAAGGAAGAATGGTTGGTGGCTTATATCTTTGGGAAATGAAAAGATGTAAAATAAAATGAAACCGAGCTGGCAGTTAGCTGGCAGTAGCCAATACAGAGTTGTAGAGGCTTTTGAAATACTCCAGTATAGCTCTGGGAAGAGACTAGAATTGAAGAAACTCCCACAAACCAGCTGACAAAGTTGTAGCTGTCAGAAGGGAAAGTCAGTAAAAGTGAATCCAGAGCTCCCAGAGAGAAAAGCCATTGAATGGCATTGCTCAATCCAACGGGGGGGGGGGGGGGGGGGGG